TTTTTTTTTTTTTTTTTTTTTTTTTTTTTTTTGGTTAAAATTCTGTTTTAGACAAGGGGAAAAAATAACTTTTTTTTTTTAACACTATTCTACCCACAATGGATCATAAAGCTTATTATTTTAAAGGGCGGGGGGGAGCTTTCAGGTAGTAAGACAAATAGTCTGGATTCATTTCTAAAGTACAAAATGTGCTTACTAGACGCTTTTCCTTGTATCAAGTTTTCAACCAATGAGTTAATGTAATAGGTGCACCCATAGATAATACTGTTTTAGAAACTTGAGAGGAAAAAGTTCATTGTTGACAAATACAATGTATTGAAAGGAATAATTTGTATTACTCATGCTCATCATTGAGTTTGAAAGTAACTAACTACATGGAAAATGACTTAATGTCATTGTGAACAGCTCAATGGAAATTTTTGTTCTATGTGCAGTGGTAGTCAAAAGCAAACAAACGTTAGAATGTATAAAGAATTGGATAGAAAATAATACTGAAAATATGTCATTCCCTGAGCCAATGGAATGTCCTCATGTGGCATAGTCAAATGATCAATCGTGATCACCCTATTTCAAAGAGAGAGAGCAGAAAGAGAAGGATCCATGAAATGATGAGAACTATATGGAGAGGGATTGATAAAATTGAGACTGTTTAGAAAAGAGACAAATAAAAAGAGAGATGTCATGAAAAAGGTAAATTGTGTGCTTTCATTTATCCTTTCTCATAATACAAAAAAGGGTACATTAACAAAAATGAAAGGCAACAAATTAAAACTGACAAAAGGAAATACTTGTTTCATGATACATGATTAACCTACAGAATTCTCTTACCAGTAAATATCATTGAGGCTGACAGTATAATATGATTTATATACATACGTTTTTTTAAAATTAGCATCAAAGTTAATATTAATCATATTTTAATACATAATCAACCGCTAACTCTCAAAAATTGGAAACTTCTTCATTGCGCAGTTTATTCTATAATTGTCTGTAACAGGTTTTCTTGCATCTTTTTCTGAAGCATCTAATGCTGTCCATTTTCAGAGAGACTGTTGGACTAGATAGATCACTGGTATGAACAATTCATATCTGTAACTTTTCTTAGGACTCTCTCAATCTCGGTCAATTTCTTCATCTGACATTCTTAATTGTGTTATGTTGCATTTCTTAACGAAGAAAAACTCTGAACTTGATTGACTTGAAACAGAGACTGATGTACTAATTACATTTTTGATATCTTGCACTTTTGCAAGATGATGGAGTAGAAAATTCAATTTTCATAAACAAGCTATTTCTGTGTTTAATTTTCATGACTAGCATAAACTTTCTGAAAGTTCTACCTTTCCAGGTGGGAGTGTACCATATGCTATACTTGAGCTAATTTTCTGTTTTTAATATATTCAGTCAAAAGCTTGAATCTCCAAGTATCTTTGACCTATGTTGCAGCAAAATCTTTACAGTATAACTGTAAGTCTGCTTTTCAGTTAGAACCTGCTCTGAGATGTAGATGTTGGGATAGAAAGTGTTTTCCTAGTGTCTTACTTAACCACTAATAACAGGTTTCAGAGTAACAGCCGTATTAGTCTGTATCCGCAAAAAGAAGAACAGGAGTACTTGTGGCACCTTAGAGACTAATAAATTTGTTAGTCTCTAAGGTGCCACAAGTACTCCT